TCACATGCAAACCCTAAAATTCATATGGAAATGCACGAGAGGCAGAACAACCAAAACGATCTTGAAAAAGATCTGGTGATCGAATATTAAGTATCAACAGCATCCCAGTCATAAACCTGAAACATTTAAAAACAGAAGGTAATTGGCAAGAATACTGCTTGCTGGAGAGCTGCAAGTGGCCCACACAATTAGTAACAGCCACGTCTTTGCTCCGGCATAAATCTCAACCTTAATCAGAAAAACCTGCATCTGGCAAGAGGCGAGTGAAACTGGGTTTCCAAAACCACTACTTTTCTGAGAGAGGGCCTGGTTAAAACTGAGACACTGCTTAGCAACAAAGTTCTTTAGGAACTTACTCATTTCCAAAGTCATTCTGGGAGCATTAACAATAAAACAAACCAATGTTCAAGGCTTTAAATATAATACCTTTTTGCCCATTCCCAGATCACATGGAATAAATCCTTAGCATTAATTACAAATGCTAATATGAACAAGGATAAGCAGCAAGGTGACTGATCTTGCCATTTTCTTTTCCATATGAAAAGAAATCCTGAGGCCAGGGATTAGAAGACCTAATATTGTTAAATTAGGTCTTCTAATGTTCTCCAACTCAATCTCTATGTTCCACTCTCTCTCACCTTGGGTTTGGAGTAGGGAAGAGAATGGACTTCACGTCACAGGAGAAACAACAGCCTCCTTAGTGCTCTGATAATAAAGTAAAACAGTGCTCGCAACAGACTCCTGGTCAGTGCTCTCCTTCAATTATTACTAGCTGCTTTCCTGTTTTCTTGATTAGGATGGTTTTAACCTATTTTTCAATACCAACATAGGAGAGGCATAAAACAATGGCTCCCCACAGCAGTTTTTTTCAGCCTAGACAGGGAATCAGGAGAAGAAAGGGCAATAACAGAATTTTAGGCAGGGGTGATGGAGGGTGGGCGTGCAACTCTTGTGGTCCTTTTCAGATTACTTTTATTAGTTTATAGATAGCATAATTTCAGATGTAAAAAAAAAAAAAGGGAAGGTTTGCAAACACCTATAACATGCCATGTACTTCACAGACTTGCTCCTCAGAACAACTCTCCGCCATGGGTTAGCACTGCCCCATTTATAAGTGAAGAAACAAAAGTATAAAAATTGAAAACTGTAGAAAGAAAAAAAGGACAGAGATTTATCCTATCATATCAGATCTACATACCTGGTACTTCTAGTAGCAAAAAGTAAAGCCCAGCGGCATGAAGGCCATATTCTCGATACCGTAGACTGACATTTTTCTTATGTACTGTTTGAACAAAATGATAGAACAATGCCACAAGCGTACTGTGGGAAATATTGTTCTCAATGAAGAAGGTCCAGATACTCTGTGGGTAGAGGGCAAATCACAAAAGCCAGTCATGAGAGAAATGGAAACATCTGCTAGTATTTGATTTTTACAGGTTCTTGGTGCCTTACAAAAAGAGGAAGACTAGCCTGGCTCCTAATGCTAAATGTTGACCATCTTCAAAGGGACTGAAACAAAATATCTAAATTAAAAATGCATTACCCAAAATCACAAAGATAAATGTGTGTGTGTGTGTGTGTGTGTGTGTGTGTGTGTGTGTGTATATATATAAAACATATTTAAATACACTTCCAAAATAATTTTTTTTTGTTAAGTTTGAAGCGTATATACTTCAGAAATTATAGCTTAAAACTACACTAAGAATTTTGGGACACCATATATTAGTGATTATTCAGAAAAGTTAAATTCCTCTATTTAAAAAGAACTCAAATCCCTTTACCAATAATTACTAACGGAGGAAATCAGAGCCTTTTATTTAAATTTAAATGTCTGCAGATTGTAGGCAAAGGGAGCAGAAAATAAAAGAGATCTCAGAAGTGGCCCAGGTAAAGGAGATAAACCTTAGAAAAGTAACTACAATTTTATTAATTCTATCACCATTTCATGTCTTCTCCTTCTAAACATATGAAGAAGAAATGGGTTATTTTAATAACCTAAACACAGCAGGAGCTAAATATGGTTTATGCTTGAGTATCATAACTAAAAAAGGCCCACAAACTTCAAGTGAGCAGACTTTGTACTTCCTGCTTCTTTGAAAAGGCAGGGAAAGTGGTAGGTAATACCTCTGATTAGTCACAACATCATCTTAAAGAAAAGACATAAAAAATTATTTCAGCACTCTCCTTTCCTTAACTAAAAAAACTTGTAGGAGAAATCATCTCCACTGGGCACAGTGGCTCATGCCTGCAATCCCAGCACTTTGAGAGGCCAGGACAAGAGGACTGCTTAAGTCCCAGAGTTTGAAATCAGCTAGGGCAACAAAGCAAGACCTCGTTTCCACAAAAAATAAAAAATTAGCTGGGTGTGGTGGCAACCACCTGTAGTCCCAGCTACTCAGGAGGGTGAGGTGAGAGGATCACTTGAGCCCAGTAAGTTGAGGCTGCAGTGAGCAAGCCATGACTATGATACTGCATTCCAGTCTGGATGAGAGAGCAAGACCCTAGTCTCAAGAGAAAAAAAAAAGAAAAGAAAAAAAAAAATCATCTCCTACCTTTACAGTACGCCACTTGCGCCTCCACTGTACTCACTGGGATGATAGATCACCCCAAACCATCTACTCACCAGGGCTCTGTGTATGAAGTCACCTTGGCCCCATGTGATCTCATGGCTGCTGTCTAGTCTGGGCATCAGTGCTCCTGCACTCCCTACACTTGACTGCTCCTCCACAGACCCCTTCCAACCAGCTCTCCATTTCTGCCCTGGCTTCTTCTCCTCTCGGTGATCTCATGTATCACTGCGCTTCAACCCACACCTCGATTTAAAGAACTTTCCTGTCTCTCCTGGTCTCACATTTCTACTACCTGTTAAACTTCCCAAGGATCTCCTGACAGAATCTCACGTTCAGAAGTCTAAACAGAACTCAGTTTCTCCATTTGACCTTGCTCTTTTTCCCTTATTCCCTACCCCAGTTAACAATATCATCATCTTCCTAGTTTTGAAATCCACGGATCACTGACTTCTTTGTTTTTCTAACTCTCTATGCCCAGTCAGTTTAGCACTTCACAGCATGTCTTAGAGATCTCACAAAGATTTCCCAGTTCACAAGGCCCTATTAATTCTACCTCCAAAAATGTCCCTAGTTTTTAGCTTTTCTTTCCAGTTCCCAAAATCATAACTACAGGCCAAGCCATTATTATTCCTAACACCTGGATCACCAAAACAGTCTCCTAAAGGTTCTCCCTGCACATATTTCTCCCCCACTTCAGTCCATCTGCTGTCAGGAACATCTGCCTAAAACAGATCTATTCGTGTTACCTTTTTATTGCTCACTGTAACCTCTTCCACACAAGGCTGCTTGTGAGGATTAAATGAGTTAATAAATGCAACCTCCTACATACTTTACCAAGTATGTTCAAACTCCACTGCTGATGCTCACGTAAAGCTACCCGTGACCTACCCTTCTCTACCTTACTGTCCCGTCCCACCACACACTTTTTCTGTATTGCTCTCAGCACTCCCTGCATGTTCCCACTGGGTGGCTCCTTCACTAGGACTGCCTTGCGACCCAAGATTCTGCTAGTCATCTGTGAAGATTCACTGCTGGCCACTTTCTTTCTGGAACCTTCCCAACCCTACCATGCTCCCTTTTTCACATCCTATGTAACAAATCTGCACCTCTCTTAGAGCATTTTCCATAATTTGGTTCACAGAATATTTCCAGGCACCCAAATGCATAGTGGCACTGCACTCTCCACCCCAGCAGCTCTATGTGGCTGCTGGACATACTTTGGCTAGTGTTCAAATGTCCACACTTCCTCCCTGGGAGGGACCTCAACCTAGGGAGAGGCTTGTATCTTAATCCCCACTGTCAACTCAAGTACTTAAGGCAATACTTATCATTATGATGAAGGAATGTCTAATAACATGATTTAATTTTTGTGATGTGAAACTTGTAACTAAATTTTTTTTTTTCATTTAAATGTTTGAGAGATGTTAATATTCAATTAACTTTTGTTCTGCTTCCCAGCCCTTTGGGTTTTTTTTTGAAAACTAACAACCTAAATATTAATAATAATTTATACTTCTATGCACTGGAAAGAACTCAATATTTACAGGAACTTTTTGGACACCTGTTAATTCAACTAGTCATTCCTTAGATTAGTAATATCAGATTTTCTAAAGTTAAGGTTAAAGCATGCCTGAATTGTTATTTGCATTTTCCTTGGACTAGTTTTCTTGTTTTTGCCTTTATGCTTTTCCTTTTTTTTTTTTTTCCATTCTGACACAGAGTTTCTCAGTGTTGCCCAGGCTGGTCTTCAGCTCCAGAGCTCAAGCAATTGGCCAACCTCAGCCTCTAAAAGTGCTGGAACTACAGACCACCACACCCAGCCTTATACTTTTCCTTCAGTTTGCTATTGTAAAAAGTTGTCCTGTCTTAAAAAAAAAAAAATCAGACTAGTACCTTGAATCTTTTGGAGGAAACCTATTAGGATATTCCAACAAATTTACCACATTCTTTATGTTACTCACATTGTACTCCCTGTGAATTGTACACCAAGAAAGCCAAGCTTTACATTATAACAACGACTTTCATCTTCTACTTCTAACACCAAAAGTTGGCTAGTTCGTTTTTATTTTTTTACCTCTACAGATCCATGTTCTTCAGTAGCAAAGGGTAAAAGACTTTCATAGAGTTTCGTGAATGCAGCCAATCCAGTCTCTATGATCTCTGCTTCTATGCTGGGATCCAAAGGCTCAGTCTCTGTGAAATCCAGTTCCCACACTGTGTCAACCCATTCTAGGGGAAAAGGCAATGAAATTTGTAAGTACTCTGTAATAAGGAAGAAAAACGAATCACCTCTAGATTCCAGGTATGTTCAAGAGGAGAAAAGTTAGTCACAATTCATATTTAACTTGTTATAACAATATAGATCTAGCATAATAAAAGAAAAGCAGAAAAGGTTAAGAGAATCTTTTCTTTTTTTTGGTTTTAATTCAGTCTCCTTAGAGACTGTCAAAAATTGTCAGTGCCGACTATATTGTAAGTTCTCACAGCGGGGTATTGGGAAAAGTTTTCAATTGGCAATAATTATGCCTTGGATAAACCTCATTGGCTACGATACTGCCACTGCACAAAGCTTAAGAGAATCTTAAATCACAAGTGAGAGCTGACTATTAGGCTAATCAGAGTCTAAAAATATAAAGGAACACTTTTAAGATATAAGAGTTTTGGGAAAGGACACTTCAAAACATTTCGTGATCAGGCTTAGGAAAGCCTGATGTGTAATCTATGTGTAATCTAGAGAAGAAACAGAGGTTAATCAGATTGCCCAAGATGTCCCTTTGTGAAAATATCATAACAAAGTTAGTAAGTGCAAATAAAATATATAGCACTTTATCGGGCCTTTGGACAAGAATGTAGTATTTTAAAAAGTTATAATTTCTCCAGGAAGTTTAAAATATGGAGGCTAGCCAGACTTAGACTCTCAGAAATACTCAGTGACTTTAAAATACACTGACTGAAAGAATGTACATTGAGAGGAACGATATTAAGACAGCATGCTGGATGGACTCCTTAACAACCTCTCTCAACTCTAAATCTTCCCATTCTTTTCTAACAAACTATATTTCTTCAGTGTTTTTGTTGTTATTCTCCCAAACTAAAATTAGCACCAGATGGGCCAGGTGTGGTGGCTCATGCATGTAATCTCAGCATTTTGGGAGGCCCAGGCAGGTGGATCACAGGGTCAGGAGTTCAAGACCAGCTTGGCCAAGATGGTGAAACCGTCTCTAATAAAAATACAAAAATTATCCAGGCGTGGTGGAGGTGCCTGTAATCCCAGCTACTCAGGAGGCTGAGGCAGAGAATTGCTTGAACCCGGGAGGCAGGGGCTGCAGTGACCGAGATTACGCCATTGCACTCCAGCCTGGGTGACAAAGTGAGACTCCGTTTCAAAAAAAAAATTATGACTAGATGGAAATGTGGACATCTCAGACAAATTATTAATCAGGCATTCCTTCAAATTAATATTAAAAGTATTTGTTCGTCACTGATTTAGAGAAATTGGGCAGGGTATAAAGAAAGAAAAAACAGAGATGCAAGCATTACACTGCACTCAGCAAATGATAGGCCTTACACTCAACTAGGTCCATCCTCCTTAGAATACAATCTGCTTATTATCTTTTGTCACTTGAACTTGACCCTGGAGGAGGGAGTCTCTGTGCACAGCATTCCTTCCAAAGACATGAAATATGCTGCCTGAAAGATGATCTGAAAATACAATTGTATCTTTCTAAATTTCCATTAATGTTTTAAAGAACACAGCAAAAGTTATGTCACTCCTTCTTTTGGTTTTGCTTATAATAGTTCCCTACTGTAAATACCATCAAATCTAATTTGGATGAAAGTAACTGGCCCTGTTATCTACCATTTGGTGACAGAAGTCTTCTGTGTTGATCGCTGAGTGAGAATATAGTAGACATTGAGTTTGATTTTTTCCAATATCCTTACACTATTCAAACCAAATCCCTCACTATCTATTTTCTCAACTGTCAAATGCAGATAACTTCTGCTCTACTATTTCACTTAGAATGGAAGAAGAGGAGCAAATACATCATTTATTCACTCAACAAACACTTTGAGAAAATACTAGGGAAGCCACTTACAGTGCTACGAATACAAAGATGAATGCTAGCGGGTTCTTGTCCACAAAGATGGGAACATTTCACACTTAGCATACCAAAAAAAGCAGCCGATGATAGAAGAGAGACCACTGAATTTTGAGTCAGAACAAGGCAAATATCCTGACTTGATCACTTACACATAATTAGTCTCTTCTTCATCATTAGAAATACAGGATTTTTGTGAAAGATAATGTGTAAAAAGGGCCTAACAATGTGCTAGCCACATAAAAAACAGCAAATAGATGGTATTTATTATTTCTGCAGTGGATGAGTGTTAAAATAATAGATATGTAAAAGGTAACATGCTAGAGAACTTAATAGAGAATACTACTGGGGAAGAAAGAGGAGAGGAGTAAGATGATTCAATTGGGCCTGAATGTAAGAGTTCTGCAAGGCGAATGCAGAAAAGTGCATCCCAGCAAGCACAGTGTAATAAAGCAGAAACAGAAAGAAACTAAAGTATTTCAAAATGAACAAAATTTTTAAAACATAGAGTTTGGATGTGGAGGGTGAGAATTACTATCTATTCAGCAGTTATTATGTGGCAGGTACAATATTTATCTTTACAAAACCCCTGTGAGGTAGATACTGTACTTCCCATTTGACAGATCAGGAAAGAGGTGTTTAGCAAGAATAAGCAACTCGCACGGTAACACATGGATGCTATGGGGTAGAGCCAAGAGAGCAATCCAAGTGTGTCTGACTCCAAAGGGCATGCTCTTTGAAAAGCATACTACAGAGAATGGTGAAGGCTCTTATAAATCATGCTAAGGATCTGGTTCATTTATTTAGGAAACAAAGGGGAAACATTAAAGGTGTACAGCCTTGACACATTCAAAGCTGTGTTTTCAAAATTCGTTCTGCAAATTGTGGGGGATGGGCTGGCACAGTTAACATCAGAAAGCGGCTAAAATACTCCTGCAATTGCTCAATGCTGACTAAGATGAAGCCCTGAGCCGGGGCAGCAGCATCAGGAATGGAGCAGGGTGGCCCTGAGACACCTCAGAGGCAGGACAACTGGTGGTGGTGGTGGGCATAAAAGGGGAAGCAGAAATGCCAGGATTCCTGGGTTGGTGGCTTGGCTGGTGCCATTAGCAGGCTTTGGGAATCCCACTTTCACTCATGTGACCTTTGATGACGTCTGCATGAGACATCCCATTGAACCTATGAACATGAAGTTCAAGAACTAAGTCTGGGTGAAGAAAGAGATTTGCAATTTAAAACCATCTTAATAGATAAAATTAGGTGTACTGTGGGAAGTAGAAAAGTTCCTTTTTAAATGTTTCTTTTCTTGTTAAATCTTTAAGTGTGCCAATAACTCTTTGTTAAGCTCTATCCTGTGTAACTGTTAGATATGCCGTTGCTTACAGGCACATAGTACATTCTATGTCCTTGTACTTTAACCAAGATATCTGCTCTGAACGTGCTCACAGGCATGTTGCAGTTCTCCAATGCTTTTTACCTGTTTAAAAAGTTTTAAGTTATTAACCAGTTGGGTTTTAGTTTAAATTGTGAGGTCTGGCTCTAGCCTTGGGAGATCAGACACAGCAGTAAAAACAACCCCAAATGAATAAGGAAAAAATTTGTCTCTCTGCCTTTGTTCACTGTACTTTTGTGGCAAGATAGCTAGTGAGAGTACCCTTCCTGCAGCCCAGGAAGTAAAAATTGCGTCGCTGAAATATCCTTTATCTCAGTGCTAATTTTCCTTTGTGGCACGGAACATCTATTTCCAACATGCAAGAAGATGTGCACAGGAAGACAGGGAAGGCGGAGAAAACAGATGCACAAGCGCTAGAAGAGACCGGCCTACGTTTGGTTATTGTTAAGAGTGGCCTGGCCAGTTTGACGCCCCATGGGAAACCTGGCTGGCCGCAATCCCGGTGTGGCACGGGCCTGGGGACACCAGGGACCAACAGGAGCTGGGCGCCCCCTCCCCGCCCCCACCCACACCCTGGCCCGGGCTTAGGCACCACAGGGGACGCAAAGGACACCCCCGGCTCACCGAGGCTAAGATCCAGCGGACACCAGGGCTGCAGGCCACTCCCAAGGCCCCGCAGCGCCACCATGATACCCAGGGTACCGGCTCGCAGTCGCAGCACTCAACTTTCAAAGCTCGCTCCCGCGCGCGCGCCGAGGCGTTCCTGCGGACCAATCACAACGTACAGAATTTCCTACCCGCCAATCACTGCGTCGAGCCGTTTCCATTCGCTCAACCAATCACCTGCATCGTCTGCCGCAGGCGCAAAGAACTGGTCGGATAGAAGACTGGAAGTTAAACGAGGTTGTTACGCTCTGTCGTTCAAGGAGGAACCAGGGCCTGAGTTAAACCCTAACAGCGTCTTTCCCTTCTCGTTTTTCTTCAATGGGAGGCAATCTAAAGGGTATCTGAGACAGGGTACTTCCGGTAGTAACTGTCACCTTTGCCCTCTTCAGGTGACATTTCGCTCGTGTCAAAGGGCTGCCTTTCCCGTCAGACAGCACTGGAACAGTGTAATATCCGAATGTGGAAGACAGCCCAACTTGCATGGAGCTAAAGCAATAAGGAAAAAGCAGCCAAAAGCACTCCCAGAAGACAGCTGCAGTTCTGTGGACTCAGCGGCACGCGTAGGCCCGGAGCGCGTCCCAGCGAGGCCACGGCTGCCATGTCGACCGCGGGAGCGCCTGGCGCGCTCTCCCTGCGCAAGCGCAGCGAGTTATCCTGGCGGCCCGGAGGTCCCTGAGCGGAGGAAAAGGATGCGCATGCGCGCGGCTGCTCCAACGCATCCGGGCTGGAGCTCGCCCGCCCCCTCCCCCGCCCGGAGCTGCCCCAGCGCCTCGGTGCGTTGCACCGCCGGAGGCTGGGCAGGTAGCAGCGCTGCTCCGCGCTGGACCCCACCCGGCAGGCGTAGGCCACGCACACCTGCCTCTGTGTGGCTGTCCTGCGCAGAATTGCACCACCGACCCTCGCCTGCCCACTGCTACCGGCCGCTGGACAGGCTGGGACTGGCTCGGCGCAGGGCACTGCTCCTCGGTGCATTGCTGCTCCGCGCTGCAGCCCGCAGCCGCCCGCCTCCCCCGGCCGTGCCCCTCCCGCGTGGAGCCGGCTATCCGTCTGCGCCCACTGCCCCGTGGCAGCGGCGGAGCCGGGCAGCGCGCGGCTGCCAAGCGCGCTCGCGCTTCGGGCCCTCTGGCCTTCCCTCCTTAGGGCAGCCCGCGCCCCGGTGCAAGGGAGCGGTCCTTACCAAGACGCGCCCGGTCCGGCGGTGCAATGAGCTTCTTCGGCTTCGGGCAGAGCGTGGAGGTGGAAATCCTTCTCAATGATGCGGAGAGTAGGAAGCGGGCCGAGCACAAGACGGAGGACGGGAAGAAGGAGAAATATTTCCTCTTCTACGACGGGGAGACGGTCTCCGGGAAGGTGAGCCTTGCGCTCAAGAACCCCAACAAGCGACTGGAGCACCAGGGCATCAAGATCGAGTT